GGATTTTTATCATTATAGGGTGGTTGTGTACACACACTGCCAACACACATTTCAGTTCAAACAACTTGTAAAAGTGCATGTAGCATCCTATGACCCCTTTAATCGCCAAGGCTTTTAAGCACATGCAAATAATGTACTTTTGTGATTGCGAATAAGTGCATTGTCCCGTGAGTGTAACTCTACCACTGAGTTAACATTTGATGTGAATGTATGTCGCGTTGCACAGTTTATTGAGACGGAGACGCCAGAATTGCAACTGATAGAATGTGGGCTGTAGCACGATACTACGATATTTCTTCAAAAGCAGATCGTGGAGACATTTTAATCATCCACAGTCAAAAATCATCATATTGCACGCCCCTACTGCTGAGTTGAAGCCAAGGCTCTGAACGTGGCTTCTGTTACCTGTTACGCTCGGAGCGATTCAGGCCTTTTTCTGAAAGCCTCCCGTGATCCGAGTGACATTTGATACGTACGTCCTCCAGGGTCATTCAGAGGCTCCATAACAACTGCAGAGATCTGCTGCGATCCGTCTGCGCCTCGGCTAGCTGTCTCACAGATATGGAGAAACCTCTCGAACTCTTCCAGACGGTGAGTGTTGCATAACGCACATTCTGAGACATCAGCATCTCGTGGACCGAGTACCAGATCATCTCTTGGAAAGCACAGTGATCCAGTACCACACGTTGTTCTGCTTGATTGGCTGCAATGTGTCAGATGTTTTTGAGCCAGCAAAAATATAACAGCATGTGCTTTGCTTTCTAGGCCAAAGGTTTTCAAGGTGTGTCTCCATTTACCCTGCAGGGAATCTCCTTTGTGTATATCGCACTGGTCAAGGTGTCGTCTGTTGCTTGTGTCTGTGGAAGCTCAAAAAGTGAAACAATGATACTGTTGAGAGTGAGACACAATAAACCCAGTGTTTTGTCTGACAGATGCTGTTTGTTTACTTAGCAGTGTCACATTATAAAGCACCTAGAAAATTCAGCGTTTAAAAATATTTGTTTTGTACACAGTTTAGCCTACTTTTAACACAAATTATATAGTTATTGTTTCCAGTTTACTTAAAACACAATTTATAAAACGGATAGTTCCGGTCCTTGATTCTGATTGGTTGAGCCGCGTTCAAAGCTGTTGTAAAATACTCTACAAACACACACCTTTGTTTACTTCGTGTGTTGCTTGGCAACCACTTTGTTGCAACCACATCTGATTCTGAGGAACTTCATTGTTTGGTGGAAGAATACTGTTTTTATTAATATCATTACTTTATTTGCTCTGTTTTATTTTGTGAAACCTAACTACGTATATGGAATAACCGTTTTATAAAAGCAATAAGCCCCGTGAAGACGTGGTTTACAGTGAATTTATAACAGCTAAGGGGCGTTGTTAGGCACAATGCGAAGCGGAGGGGCTTGGGGCTTATTGCTTTATTAGTCACCTTTAAAAGATGACACTTGATTTAAACTTTAACTCATTTACATTCAAATATAAATACTCTACATTAAATCAAAGTTTAAATTATAACAGTTTCAAAATAGGCTACATTGGGAACACTACTGTAACAATAAGGAATTCTTGACGACGAGCTGTTGAATTATTAAATAATAATAAACCCCAGGTGTGCATTATTTTCTAATAATTCAACGGACCGGAGTCAGTTATTCTGCTACTACGGTTACCACACTTCAAATATTGTTCAGCTGTTGTATTTCAAGACATTCATCAGGTTTTTGTCCTTAAAATGTTCTTGCGTCATTACGTGTAGGGTTCATTTCTTACGCATCTCTTACAAAACGTAATTTTAGAGCTAGCAACGGAGGATTGAGCCGTTGATAGCCGATTAATGCAGTTATTAATGCAGTTATGAGAGATTAAGCGTGTGTGAATTACCTCTCTCGAGTCTGCGTAACATTTCAAGTTGCTTAAATGACCTATAATGCATTATGAACGAATATAAATGGGCAATTAATAATAATGTAGATTTATGTTATTGTGTAAAAAGTGTTCATTGTTAGTTTATGATACCTAATGCATTAACTAAGTTTAACAAATTTAACCTTGTGAAGTTTTGTCTGTATATGGTGTTTAAAAAATCATTAGTAATGTCTACTAATTCAAAGAATTATCTAATTTGGTATCAGCAGTTCACTTAGTATTCATTACATAATCTTCCTTGTGGAAAAGAGAGCTTTGGAATTGCAGAGGGATTTTAAAGGATCCAGGTCCAGCTATCCCAGGCGATTTGTGCTAATAGCCTAATTTTTAAGTATCTGATTAGCTAGCACAAAGGTTGCTGGTTCATTTCCAAGTAATGTTGTCCCTGGAGTTCCAGTGATCCCAATCCTGCTCCGCCACCATTGTGACTTTTAGTAGGGTACAGTGTGCTAGGATGCTTCAGCAGGACTGTCCTTGCAAATACTGTACTTCGAGCAGCTGGGGTGAACTGCAATAGTTAGTTGAATTACTAATGTGAGTAAACCCTGATCTTGATTTGAATGTGACTTTAACATTTATTCCATACGTGGTTGAAGACTTTCAGCAGACTGATAATTGTCACATAGTTGCATGTGCATTTTTTTTCTCACAATTTTTCATTTCTTTAACTTGCTTTCTAATACTCTTTTGTCATTAACGGTGATTAGGAGGGAAGCTTTTATGCCACAGGTGTTGGCTGGTCTTATTTCACAGTGACACATTGTTCTGTTGTTATTTATGAGGAAGTAGTTTAAGTCACCTGCCTGTACTATACGCTCTATAATTTCCTTATATTCTGAGGCTGAACTTCCCACTTTTGTAGCTTGGTTTCCTACACCATTTCCTCAGACCCAGAGTTTTGGTCTCAGGGAAACACTACAGTGTTTGTGTGTCACCTATTACTGACTTCATGAGCCAGTGGATACGATCAGAAACAAAACTGCTTGTTCTTTGTTATTCGGTTGTGTTTGCAGTGATTACCTACTTATTACATTTTAAAATATGAAGGATATAATTCACATCTATGCATTTAACAGATACATAATTTCAGATAAAATGAAGTTTTTTTAAGGCTTTTGTCTCTTATGCTCACCAAGGCTACATTTACTTGATCAAAAACACAGTAAAAACAGTATAATATTGTGAAATATTATTACAACTGGTAATATGTGAATATATTGTGAAATTAATTCCTGTAATGCAAAACTGAATTTTCACATGATCCTTCAGAAATCATTGTAATATGCTGATTGGCTGCTCAACAAACATTTTATTTTGCATACATATTTTTGTTGTTGTTGTGTGTTTAATTGTTTTTGCCATTTTATTATTGGGGCCCGTTCTTCATACCTCGCTTAATACATCTGATATGATTTGAAAGATCTTCTAATCGTGATAACTGATCTCTGGCTAATTTGGTTCTTCAA